GGTTCTTAATCTCTAACGTAGAGCAACAAGATGTTTGGGGGCTTTCCTGTTGCACTTTGTATTTGAGTTTTTACCTTATGCAGCCAGGGGCGAGGTCTCAAAGAAATCCCAGTCAAGCCAGCATTTCAAAAAGAGATACTAATGTCTGCAAAAAACATTGGCAAAAAGAAGAAAATATATGGTGAAGTTAAAGAAGCTAAATCAATTCCGTCTTTTGCAAAGTCCGTGATTCATATTAAAGTCTATGAAACATCAGTTGTGCTAAAAGGAGTGCCATGACCTCGGAAACCAGGCCATGACATTCTCCTCTGTTCAGGTTGCAACAAACAAGGTTGAGTTGTGCCCACACAGCAGCTATTTTCACAACACAAGTTTATGCATCTGTGCATCTACCATGGTGCCTAACTGTGTTTGTATCAGTGTATTCTGGGGAAACATGGACAGCTGTCCTGCACTGCCTCAGACGTAACCAAAGTACATGCACAGTCCCCTTAGCCCAAGCTAGCTGGCACAGGCCAGACATGAGTTTTTAATTGCAATGTAGACATGTCCTCTGTTTCTTTGATTAAGACCTCAGTTGAAATCTAGGCCTCTGTCTCACAGGCCTAATAATCAACATTAGCCATGCCTCAGAGCTTCTTCAGACATCCTTAACCAGGCTTTATATGTCAAATACATATGAAACCACTTTTTTTTTTCTGCTCCTCGTTTTACCTGAGAAATATCAGGGATATCAAATTTGCTTTCCCATTCGTTACTGAATGACTTTTTAGGGCATTAAATAATTGAACTACAAATTTTTTTAGCTCTGAAATGAAGGGATGAGGATTGAGTCTTTCACAAAGAAAGCTATTTTTCCTCCAATGGTTGTCAAGAATTTGAGTTAAATAGGTTTTCTATTAAAAACAAAAATCAACACCAGACTAATTCAAAAACCCTGCTCCTCTCAATTGCTCAGGTTTCAGGCCTTGTCTAAATAAAAAAAATTATTCTGATTTAACTAAGGCCTTATCTACATGCGAAAGTTTTAAAAGATATGCTAGCTATGTTTACACTGGCATAGTTACATCATGTAGACACTTATTCTGGTATAAAAGATGACTTTTTTCAGTTAACTTAAACTTCTTTTCCAAGTGACAAAACCTAAACTGAAAAAAAAAACTCATTCTAACACTGGAATAAGTTTGTCATCACAAAGGGAGGGGAGAGGAGGGTGGTTATATTGGCATAATTGTATCAGTTTAAATTCATACCTTAGGTTTTATTGCCAAACCTTTCCTATGTAGACAAGCCTAAATACTTTAGAAACAGATGTAGTTAAATTTAACTACATCTGTTTCTAAGCAACTGTTATTTAAAAAGAGAGATGGTCCACCTTTATATATCATAGTGAAGTCAAAAGAGCCCAACTTCTTTTGTCCTATTTGCATGTCACCTTTCAGTGCAGTACTATTGTGACTAGTTAATGCAACCTATACTGTATGGTCCTTTTTCATACTCCAAGGGGGAGATGGCATTCGTTTGGTAGCTCCAACAGTTTACAATACAGTAATAAAAGTATGTAAAAAATCTAGGACCATTTACTGTGCATACTTTCTCCTTCACATCACTTCCAGAAGGCATAGGCGTGCTAGCCCACGGTAAGATAAAGCCGTCACTGCCCCGTTATTCCAAGCTATCAGCATCCTGTGGGTCTCCTCCTTAGCCTTTTCGACTAAGCTCCTTGATACAGGAACCATGGGCTCAGTTCCTCACACTGACCATGTAGGTGAGTTGTGTTACAGGCCTAGGCCCTGATCCACAGTTGGATCTGCACAGACAGATCTTTTGCATCTGTGTGAACACCTGTTGATATGAGTAGTGTTCAGTGAAGCTCTAATTGCATAATTGTGGCTCTGTTCTTTAAAAAGTGAAATCCCAGGCCCACTGAAGTCAATGAAAGTTTTGCCATTGAGTTCAGTAGGGCCAGGATTTCACCCCAGAATAGGGTAATCAGATGTCCCGTTTTTATAGGGACAATCCTGTTTTTTGGGACTTTTTCTTATAGAGGTGCCTATTAACCCCCACCCCCTGTCCCGTTTTTTCACAGTTGCTATCTGGTCTCCCTACCCCAGGACTATAGCATGGCTTAGTTAAATTCTCTAAAATGTCAAAATAGAACTTTGCTAATGGTTTTGGTAGTGTGTGTTTTGGTTTTAGAGATCAAAGCTGTGAAACCGGTTGGTAACATGTTTAAAGGTGCTTTGATCTTATCTACACAGTCAAGACTATAACATGATCTGTGACATAGTGGACTTTTTTGTAGATGTGCACAAAATTATTTCTTTGGTGTATTTGAGAAAGACAAACAGTAGTAAAGCTTTGCGGTCTAAGACTTGGAAGTATATTTTTCTTTAAGTAGAAATTGGCTTTATATTTTCCAATTTGTAGTGGTTACACCAAAAGCTGTGGATTTGAATTGCATATTGCCTATGCTTGCACATGTAAATGTTAGTTTACCCCCATCAGGAGCAACTATAAAGCCTCAGATGATTACATAACTGATCATTTGCAACGCTATCTTCTCAAGATGGTTTACTAATCAAAATGCCTACGAAGTTATGAATTGTCTTGTTCACTCTTCCACCATGAGCATGAGGAAATCTCATACGATTCTAACTGCATTTTCAAGTGTGTGAGACCTGGATTTTTTCCAGTGCACTCTAACTAGTAAAGAAGCTGCAACAGAGCATAATGCCAAGTGGAGATAAGCTGTCAAATTCCATACCAAACATTTTAATACCACAGACTGATCAAATTTAACTTTGCTCCATAAGGGTGTATGTATTTTATATGTGGTTCCAGGGTGCCGAAGTATTTTCTGTGAAATGTGTCATTAATAGGCATTGCAAAGTATAGCAATAAATTGTGGGAGGTTGTCTTCAATGCCCAGTCCTAGCCTTCAAACCTATTTATTCAATTTCTTTTTTCAAATTACTGAGCTGTCATCTTGATAAAAATCATATTGAGAAGTCTTTGTTGAAGATACTAGACCTGAATAGTTAAATAAAAATATTACATTAACGCTAAAGTAGGTTTTGTTGAAAAATGTTGTGCTTAATTATTTATTGGGTTGGGATATTTATTTGTAGTTGTCTTGTGACTCCTGAACCAATATGAATTCAGTTCTATCATGGCACTGCACTGTTTGAATCAAAATCAGTAAAAAGTTTTATTTTAAAAAAACAAAAGATGTAGAGGATTATCAGAGGAGCACCATGCTAATATACAGCCTGATTCTGGGTTGTGTATTCTTGGTTTGTTGGGTTAAATTTGCAAATAAGGACGCAAAATGAGTTTAAGTAGCAATTTAAATAAATTAATTAATCAGTTTTAGAAAGTGCAAATCTAAAACAATTTATGCAGAAGGAACTGTCCAATAGAGAGAGCTGTAACAGAGAAGTTACCATTAAGTGAGCTAGGGGGATGAAGAGGCAACAACATGATAAATGTAGAGTTAAGTAACACTTTAAAATTTTAGGGTCTGATTTTCAAAAATTCAGTGGCACAATTGCAGTTACCATAAATGTGTGTGCCAATTGTACAATTAAGCCCACATCCCTGATTTGTATGTGCAATTGTCGTTATTCCAGGTGCAATTTCAGTACACCATTGCAGGCACGCAATTGTGTGCCTGACGTACTAAAAATCAGGTTCTGCCATTTCACTTATTTCTCTTTTATGATTAAGTTTTGTGTGTTCTCTTTGATTGTTCTGTGCTGCTAATAAACAAGCTAACTTCTTTGTGTATATATTTTCTTTTGCTTGCACTTCTCTCTACCTTTTTTTCTCCTTGAAAAAACAGTAAAGATTCTTGTATTAAAATAAGAAAGCAAGTAGTGAAGTTGCTTTCATGTGTATATGAAAAACAATCTGTTCATTGTTTTAAATTCATGTAATGCCTTTCTGAAATTTAGATAACCAACTTCAGACATTTTTCAAGTTGCATTTTTCTGGGGATTTGATCTTCTCTGTTAAATAATCAGTTAAGTGCATAGAGTTAAGTTTGAAAAATACTAAATGTTAAGACAAAGGTATTTTGAAGTAATGGTAGAGGTTTTAGTCTTAACTGATTTAAAAAAAAAATCAGAGTTGAGGCTGCCCTTCCATTCTTAGTAAACTGTGCCGTAGGTATATTGATATAAAGAACTCATGGCTATTCAGTGAGTCAGATTGCCTGGAAGGCTGAATATTCTAATCTTTCTCCTCAAAAAAGAGCACTCCCTTCATGGTATAAGAAGTTATTACTGTATTTGAATATAGGGTTTGCTTTGTTTTTTAAAATGGAGCATTTCAAGACACCAGAGGTTTGTAATATAAAAGTACAACCCCCATGATTTCTATTTTCACTCTTGTTTTACTTCTGACCTTAGCATCTGATGTGCAGTCCCAATCACACTGCAGAGTAGCTGTATCTGCACTAGCATTTTTGTAATTATCTCCCAGTGTTTCTCTACCATTGGTGCAGCTTCACCTGGACTTGCATATACAATGCATCCAGGTACACTTGTTATATCTAAATGTTATCTTCCAAATTATACAAGGAACTTTATCCAACTCAGATATATTGATGAGTAGAACTGATGGGAGAGAAATCTCCTGAGGTCTTCTTCCTGCTGATTTTTAACAACTAATTCCACGTGGTTAGAAACATTTTATTTTTTCTCGTGTTTATTCTCTCTGTCCCTGACAAAATCCCTTCCACTTGGTTTATCCTGATTTATACCCCACTTGAGAATAACTATATTTGTGAATGGTGTGACCCGGCCTTTCAGAGCGAATCAGTGCTGCTGCTTAATTGTCTGTAGGCATAACTGTTCTGTGATGTCAAGTATTGTGGGGATCTCCCACAATGAAATTTGATGTCCCCTCCAGCAATCGTGCTGACCTATACAGTTTTTCTTCACCAAGAACAATTTTTTTACTTAACTAAATGTCATTCTTCTCCTTTTATTTTCTAGGAATCTGAATTTCTGTGTTTGGAATTTGATGAGGCCAAGGTGACTCAAATGCTGAAGAAACTGTCAGAGATTGAAGAGAGCATAACGGCGCTGACGCAGACCACCTGATTGTTAAGATAAATAAAGAGATTGTGACTCAGAACATAGCTGGCCTTAGTACTTGTTAATAATTTCTATTTTTATATATGAAATGGTTACCAATATTCTAGTGATATTTGATCATAAAATAAAATATTGTGGGCTCGGTTGTGCCACTCTGACACTTGTGAGCACTTACTCAAACAAGAAATCCCATTGGATTCAATGGGGCTACTTGCCTAACTGCATAACAGCTGAGCAAGGCTGTGCCTAATCAAGCCCTACATGTTAGAGTAGTGTGGCTTTCCTTTTCATGCCTCTTAATGATTTGTCGAGTCATCTGACTACTCTGACTCTTGAGATAAATATTGGGCTGCAGTCAGTATCCAAGGGAAACTGAACGGCCATGTGGCATGGGAAAAAGACAATCTAATGGCTGTTCAGATTTTTCCTTATAAAGTAAAGATCTTCTATGATAATTCTTTCCCTTTCTCATTGGAACCTAAGGGGGCAAACTGGGGTTTCAGTCAAAGTCTGTGATAGATCTCTGTTGTGGTTGTGCACTAGGTATAAAAACGAATACAACGTCAACCAACTAAGAATAGGTGAGAGGAGAGGTTTAACTGCCACAGGTAGAGAAAAACATAAAGGAGAAACTGAATCAGGAAATCTCTGCTAATCAAGTTTAGTAGACAGTCAAACGCTAAGACCTGAAGCTCTGATAGACTTTGATTAGTACACCTGCTCCCATCACACCCTGAATCTTATAAAAGAATCGATTTAACTAGTTCACTAGCACATACATATAGTACATTACTGAAAACAGTTATCAAAACCGTTAGGGAAGCAAATCCATCAGCCATTCCAAAGCACAGAGAAGAACTCTCCTGGTACACATCATATTGACCTCTCTCTCTCTCAAGCAGGCTATAAATATCGTAGCAAAAATCCTAGGTCCCAGATAGGAAATAATCCTCCAGTCACTGATAAAAATCTCTTTGCAATTTAACAGATTTACCACGCACCAAATGGCTTTTAACATGTATTTGCCCACAAAGAATCTGATCCTGCAAAGTACTGAGTCCTTTCATAGGCTTAAACCAGGGGTGGATGTGGCCCACAGTCACTTAACCATGATTTATTTCAGTGGCTTCCACTTTGTACAGAAATTAAACAAACAAATGCTGTCAAGAGTCACTATATAGGAATAATTTTCTCATTACTGTTAGTGCCTGTAGTGCCCTGTCTAGTCACAAGCATATTGATCAAAGGAACGCTTGTATTTAATTTTTTATTGATCTGTAAATGCAGGGCCCGTTCTGTTCCCACTGAAGTCAATGGAAGTTGGCCGTTATGTTAAGCCCCTTTCTTTTTATCCAGACTGTAACAATGTATGTGTACTCACCCATTTGTTTTGAATTTGGTGTGTTTGGCACCACATGACCCTGAGGCTCTATACAGGCACAGAGTTTTTTTCTACTGCTATGATTTGAATACAGGTTTATTTTTAGTGTGCTTAGTTTAACCAAATCCTAATCGTTCCAACCCCTTTCTTCCCTTTTCGCTGGCCCACCAGCAGGCTGCTCAGTTAATTCAGCAGTATTCATACCACGTTAAAGTTTGGGAACCTTTCCTTTCCAGAAATGGGATGTCACCCCTTTTTTCTGATATGGGGCTGCCGTGATCCAAACTCCACAGACAGGGGACAAGATCCATTGCTCCTAAAGATTTGGCATGGAGATTTCCCAGCCTTTACTCTTTGCTACTGTGCTGAAGAACATCGGTGAGGGGCTATGATGGTCACCCGTGGAAACAGGAGGGATGGGGTTGGAAAAGATGGCAAAACTAAGTGCAATAAAAATAAACCTCACCTCAGATAAACTAACTCCTCATTCTAATAAAAGCTCTGTCTCTGTACGTAGCTTTGGGGCCAGGATGAAAGCATGGAATGTGAAGCCGTGAAATTCCGAAACACATGTACATGTGTGTCTATAATCTAAATATACAGTAGTTATTTATCTAAAACCTATATTTCATTAGCCCCCAGTGTGTTTAAATAATTAAGTAGTCATTGGGCCAGTGAGAGAGCGTGAGAATGACTCTGTAGCCTGGTAGTTAGCGCACCCCCTTGGGAGGAGGGAGACTCAAGTCCCTGTTTCAATAACTGTTTCATTATTTATAAAAAGTGGAATAGCTTGAACAGGAGACATCTGCCCCATACTATGCCAGAGCCCAGCAATTAGAATATTTTCCTGGGATGTAGGAGACCCAACTTCAAATCACTGCTCCACAACAGGTCTCCTACAACCTGTTCAAGTGCTTTAAATGCTGGGCTAAAAGTTATAAGGGGGTATCTGCACCACCAGCTCTGCCAACGTTTTTGTTGAAAAAGGACTGACCTGGCCTAGGCGCCTAACTCCAGGAGAGGTACATGGCTGTGAATCTCCAGTGGAGCTAGGCACCTCCCTCCGACCTGGACTTGAGTGCCAAAGTGCCTTTGAGGGGTGGGGCTTAAGACCTACCACTCTCCTCCTCATTTCCTATTGGCTAGCTTAGGGGCTCCCTGCTCGTCTGCTGGCTTTTGTGAATCCCTTTCTTAGGCACCTCTCTCTTCCCTATCAATCCTGGGTGCCTAAACTCAGAGTGGGGAATTGTGCTGGGTGGTCAGGTCCCTAAAATGTCCCTTTGTGGATCAAGCCCCTCCCTCTCTTGCAGCTCTGCCTGGTCACCAGCATTCCATTGCGCTGCTCAATAGAGACTATGTTCTTGCTTTTCTTGTTATCACTGGCAAAAAACGTATACATATTAAGGGTAAAGGTTCCATTGATTCTTTCAAGTTATTTTCGCTTTGTAAGCAACAGATAGAGCTAAGACTATATTAAGTGCTAGTAAAGAATAGTGATGACAACATACAATACAGTAGTGCCATAATTGAAGTGCATTTCATTCTCTCTGCAAGTGAATTTAGTGCTTGTGAAGATTCCAGATTGATTGCACTTAGAAATTCAACTTCTCCCTTCACAGAATGGGGAAAGGACAGGATTTCTTGCCCACCCAATCAGAATATAAATGCAGCTCCCTGGTTAACCCACACCATCCTCTTTGGGGCCCACCTCCCCCTTCTGTCCTCCTCTTCCAGCACTACTCCTCTCAAGAGCTGCCCCTTTTCCTGATTTCTCACCCTCTTGTGTAACGACTTTACATCCTCCTGTATCCATTTTTCCATCTTGAGTTCTCAGGTCCCTTCTTACTACTTCTGGGCCTTTGCCACTTCTCAGTACCTCCCCCCATGAGAGTCTGAGCAGAAGCTACCCTTTGCCACTCATTCCCAATTTTGTAACCTCCATGACCTGGGTAGAAGACTCCTCCTGAGAAATCATAACTGCCCAAAGGTGGAGTCATCTTCTGCCACCACCACTTGATCTGACTCTGTCTTGCCAGTGCAGTGTGTTATTTACTGCTTCCTCAGGGTCCTCAGCCTGCGGGGAAACAAGGAGAGTGAAGTGGAAGCAGGACACCCAGGATGCACTGAGAAGCCAGATAGAGGAATTTTGATAGAGGAATATGCTTCCTCACGTCTCACCAACAGCTAGGAGAGGGACTCCACTTGTGTGTGGGTCCTGAAGACTCTTGAATACTCTGGCAACTCACTAGAAAAGGTGGAGATGACAGAGCAAATCTGGAGGTTATGCTAGTCTGGGCATCAGCAGCAGGACATGCTTCCTTACGGATCCTGGATAATGTGCCTATACCCATCCTGGAGGGATCTTTTCTATCACTAAGAGTCTATCTTGTCGCCAGGCTAATTCAGCCTTTGGCATCTGCAGAAATGGCCAGCAAAGTTGCCTGTTAGTGCTATTTGTGGACGATTTTAGCTGTGACAGGGACTCCCAGTGTTGCCTACTCATAGTTTTAATACAAGTCTTACAATATGTTGTGCTGTTCTTAAAGCCCCAGCTCCAGGAGTCAAGTGATTTCATAATCTCAGCTTTCATTTTTTAATTTTTTTTAATCTGGTAAATTTCTTGCCCTCGTGATTGTGGAGAAAAGGTCTGGAGTGCACAATGAAGCCTCAGAAAGCAAATAAAAAGAACCCAGACTTTAATATTTTCTTTCATGATTTTTAAGAGAATCTCATTCTTGTTTGGGGCCTGATATGTCAGTTTTCAGAGATTGAAGTTGGCAGCACTAGACACCTATCAGCGAGCAACTAGCCTGTGACCACCAAACCACCAGGCCTCCTGATGGCCAGCTACTAGCGACGGCTTTGGTCATAATCAACATGTACTGGATTTGAACCAGGGACTCAGTGCCGATTTTCTGAACTAATGAAAGTTCATTAAAATGACCTAATACGTTTTAAACAAGGTTTTATTTTTTAAAAAATAGAGGGTCAGTTAACGCTCACAATCTTAAATAACTTCCATCATGTCAAGCGTAGTAATTGTTTTATTTTAACATGCACAGAGGATAGGAAAATGTGATATAAATGGAAATTAAAGAGAAACAAACTTAGAACAGATGTCAGGAAGTACTATTTCATGAAAAGAATAATAAATATGTGAACCAGACAAGGTTACTGAGGAAAAAAAAAACCCCAAAACACTGGGGTCATTTTTGAAATAATTGGGTGCTTTCCAGGAAGAACTTGGGAAGCTAAAAAGGAGCATGTTTCCATGGACTTCAGCAACTTTCTCCCTAACATTTATTGTCTCTCTCTAATCTAATGCTTTTATTATCCTCTTCTGGGGAGTTGTAAATTATCTAGCTGATGTGAGAAATACTTAGCGCATATTGAGCCAAATTCTGTCTGGCCTTCAGTGAGGTTGCAGGGGTGTGACTGGAAAGGAAAAACTGTCCCATTCTGCAAGATTTGTCATTGGCAGTAAATTTTGTACTTCACCTGAGTGCTTTAATGCTAGGTTAACGTGGGTGGTCGCAGACCAGGTGGTTTCCTCTGTAAAAGTGAGCTTAGGTTTAACCTGCTTTAGGTGGAACTAAATGGAAGTCTGGTTTTAACTCTTTGTGTCAGGATTTGAAATAACATTTTAATACACATAGATAATGGGGAAATTTTTCAAGAGTAACTGAGTGACTACAGAGCCGAAGTGCCACTGACCTTCAACTGAAGTCAGTGGGAGATAGGTGCCTTGTGGGATTTTCAGAAGTGCCTGTCTGCATCTCTAGGCACCTAAATGCCTTTGAAAGTCTCTTAGGCACTTTTGCAAACTCTATCTAATGTGAATAGTGTATCTAGGGAGCAAAGATCACATTGTGGGTAAAAAATGCATTCCGATGAAATAGTTTGAAAATTTGACCAAGAATTAAACAAACCAGACAGCTGATCCAATGGTTTTTGTGCCTCTATTGGAACATGTGGAACACTTTCACAAACACGACACCTGATGGTTTGCATCACTTCCACCTATCTGGTGAATTTGTCAGATTATTGAATTGATTTTGACATTTTAGGAAATGTTTATAGTTTCACATAAATCTGGCTCAGATTCTCAGAAATCATTATAAACGTAGTTCAGCATAACGAAAATGACTTGTTAATACAGTTGTGTTCCCGTGGAGGGAAAACGTCATGGTTTGACGTCAGGGGCCAAATTATTGCTTGGTGTAGTCAGTAGAGTTGCACCAGGGATGAATTTGGCCTAACACAGATGAGAGAGAGATTGACCATAAACGTACCTGAAATATATAGGATAAAACCTTTATGAATTTAATCTGAGTGCATTAATTTTCCTGTGCCTTTGTTTTAGCCAATTAAATTTAAAAGATATGACGATGTAAATAAGAAAATTAGGGGCAGATTCTCTCTTGCCCCAAGATCCAGTCATTACTGTATAAGAAAGAAGTGGATCCATCCGGGAGTGAGTTACAGCTCCTTGATTCTTGAGCAGAGCCCAGGTTTGACAGCATGGTCAAGCTGTATTTGTCACTATTCTTACAAATCCTCTTTTGAACATTTTTCTTCCCAATTGTACCAGGAATTACTATAAAATAAAATACAGTTAACTGGTGTGTTCCTTTGTCTTGTTTCTTTTCTTAGGTTTCAGTGGTTTCAAGCGATTTACTTAGGGCCCACATCTCCTTTCATTTACACCAGTTTTATGCTGATGTAAGTAACTTGGGGCTGGTCCACACTAACCCCCCAGTTCGAACTAAGATACGCAACTTCAGCTACGTGAATAACTTAGCTGAAGTGGAAGTACCTTAGTTCGAACTTAAAGGTACTTACCAAAGGTCCACACTCGGCAGGCAGGCTCCCCCGTTGACTCCGCCTACTCCTCTCATGGAGCAGGATTACCGGCGTCGACGGCGAGCACTTCCGGGATCGATTTATCGCGTCTAGACAAGACGTGATAAATCGATCCCAGAAGATCGATTGCTTACCGCCGGACCCGGAGGTAAGTATAGACGTAACATCCATTTTGACCTCACTGGAGTTACTACTCATTTACACCACTGTGAGTGAGAGGGGAATCTAGTCCATAGCCTCTTTACTATGTAGTTTTGATGCTGAATATATTAAGAGTAGTCGCTTAATTCTTTCCAATCCCAGTTGTTTGTTTCCTTCGTATAAAGTTTATAAATGGCAGCCAAACCTCAGAGCAATGAATTGGCAAACCAAAGGGATTCACCTCACGGCTCTGTGATAATAGTTCTTTCAGTGAGATTTTCTTTTTCTTGGGCTATTTGCTCCTGGAATTGCTCAATATTTGGAGTATTTCCCCCACCGTTTGTCTATAAAAACCCATCCGTCCCACATTTTCTGAAAAAAAACGAGCCAAGCATGTACCATAAATTTTATAAAGCTTTGGAGCATGTTAAATAACAGAGCGACTATTTTAGGTTGATTTTGATTTACTCCATAGCTGTTCCCATTGTTCAAGTTGTTTGGCTTCATATAATCTGCTTTTCCATATTTTTTCTGTCTATTTGTGGTAGATTATTTTGCTAATGTAGAACTGGAAATTTCATTTGGGTTCTTACCCTGTTGGTTACTGGAATCAGAGCTGTTGGAGTCCCTTAGTTATGTTTTACTTTTGGATAAAAAGGTTCATATACACCTCTACCTCAATATAACGCTGTCCTCGGGAGCCAAAAAATCTTACCACGTTATAGGTGAAACCGCGTTATATTGAACTTGCTTTGATCCACAGAAGTGCGCAGCCCCGTCCCCTCGGAGCACTGCTTTACCACGTTATATCCGAATTCGTATTATATCGGGTCGCGTTATATCGAGGTAGCAGTGTATTAACAAAGTATTCTCCTACACACACCCCAGAATCCAATTCCTCAATCCTCGTGATGTCTCTTGATGTATTTGTTTACCCTGTGTTCATGAGGAGATTCCTTTCTCTGGCCATTTGCTTAACACATTTTTTATTATATTTTCTGAGGAGTAACATCTTCAGCTCATTCTGTTACTGGAAAGCGGAATCTTGCCCCTTTAAAATTTTGAAGCAGTGAACAGAGGCTGGATAATGCTGCTCTATCTTTAATGTGTAATTTTCACTCCAATTTTATTATTTGGAGATACTTTTTCTAGAATGAAAAACAATCCTTTTTGATAACTTGAAATGTAGCTAGTATGTATTTTACATCTGATTTTAGTATTACGTTATCTTTCAATTTTATGCTTGTTTCTTTCCTTGCTTCTTGCTCCTTTCAGACATTTCAACAGTTGATTCATTTTATTCCAAATATTTACAAAGAGGAGCTCAGTTTAGCTGAAAAGAGTTACAGTAGTTTACAAAGAGAGCCTTTTAAGATAGCGATATCATGTGGTGATGACAAGGCTCAGATCCTTTTTAGCAGTAGCTGGGAACTCTTTTAACGGATTATTTTTCGTGTGGTTTGCAATTAGAAAATTAGTCATAAGATCATAAGTATGGCCCTACTGGGTTCATCTAGCCCAGTATCCTGTCTTCTGACAGTAGCCAACGCCACACGCTTGAGAGGGAATGAACAGAAAGGGCAATTACCGAGTGATTCATCCCGTTCTCCAGTCCCAGCATCTGGCAGACAGAGGCTTAGGGATACCCAGAGCATGGAGTTACATCCCTGGCCATCTTGTCTAATAGCCATTGATGGACCTGTACTGCATAAATGTATGTAATTCTTTTTTGAACCCAGATGTACTTTTGGCCTTCACAACATTCCCTGGCAACGTGTTCCACAGGTTGACTGTGTGTTGTTTGAAGAATAACTCTTCTGATTGGGAACGCTCCTGCTAAGATCCATTTCTTTCAAAATATTAGATCACAATGCAAAAAGCAGAACGATGAGATTGATTGAAAAACCAGTCAGAAATTCAATCCTGACACTTTCCTGTGACAGGGTGTGTTAGGAAGTCTTTTAACAATGAGCTGACATATTTGATCTACTTAACTGTCTGTTTACACAAAGATGAAGTTTTTGTGTTGACATCTGACTACTGTTATCTTATGTAATAACCTTAACATTCTATCGTTGTTTACAGTGCAAAAATGAGGTGTGTTAGGAGACATGTTAACTCCATGTTCATATATCCTAGGACCAACTCGGCCACAAAACTGCAAACAACTTTTTAATTAACACATTGTTAAACATCACCTAGCACCTACAGTAGACGGGGAACGTATTTAAAAATGCTTAACCTGGCTGTAGTCCCTAGATCAGCGATTCTCAAACTGTGGGTCGGGACCCCAAAATGGGTTGGGACCCTGTTTTAATGGGGTTTCCAGGGCTGGCTTAGATTTACAGGCCCCCTGCCTGGGGCTGAAGCCCTAACACATTTTAACGAACATGTTAAAATCCTTGTATAGATAAGGCAGTTGTAATTTGAACATGTATTAGCTGGTTGAGGTAAACTACCTGAACCAGTTAACACATGTTAAAACTACAATTGCCTTGTCTATGCTAGGGTTTAACATATGTTAGTTAACACGTTAGCTAATGTGTTACAAATATACTTTTTGTCCTTGTGCAGACAAGGCCCTAATTTTCCCAGTGTAGCCAAAACCAGAGTTACCAGCAACAGGTGGAGATTCTGAGATTTTCTACTACACATGGAACTGGGAAGAAGGAGAACCAGCCAAACAGGCTATTCACTGAGTGTTAGAGAGTCCCATCTACACAGCAAAACAAGTGGTTATGTCTTGGTTACAGGAAGGCAAGCATGTACCAACGTAGGTCCCTACTGAAAGATAGCATATAGTTAGTTGCTAAGGCAGTTAACTATCATCCATATTGTGTGTGGGCACAAACTGTGTTTAGAGCAAAACAGGCCAATAATTGATTACAAACTCGATTTAAAAATATAGCTGTAGCATGTCTGGTGAAAACACTCTATGCCAATGGGAGAGAGCTCTCCCATCAGCATAATAAAACCGCCTCCGCGAGCGACAGTAGCTATGCCGGCGGGACGAAGCACTGACCAGCCAGCACTTATGTTAGTGTAATGTATGTCACTTAGAGGGGTGGTTTATTCACATCCCTGAACACATAAGTTATGCCAACATAAACTGTAGTGTTGACATAGCCTGTGTTCATGGGGGCAGTACAGCAGTTTAAGTTTCAGCAAAGCACAGTTGTTTGGGGAATGATTTACATGCTATGTCAGTATTTTAATTTGGGGATTTAAAGTGAGA